TGGATTTCTACAATATACTCAATATACACAAACTATTCACCCAATTTAGCCTATAATATAAGCCAAATGTTCTAAGAAGCTCAATGGGAAGCAAAATAACCAAAACTGGTTATGATTTCCTTCTTCTAGCCTGTTTTTTCCCTTTCTTTTACTGTTTTTTTCTCAGGATGTTAATGGTTGCTACTGTACTGCAAAAACTTCCATATATATTTGTTGAAAAATCAAACTCTGTTAGTTATTTTAATGATAAATATTCAAAAGCACAGTAGGAAGAAATAGAAAAAAAGGAAATTTTAAAATAGTTTTAGTTTATTTTTGGATACTTTAGCGCATCATATACAGTGATTTATATTACTGCTTGTTGTCTTGTTGAGGATTGTTATGTTGTTTTGAACTCCCTAACTAATTTCAAGTAGCCCCAGAATCTGTGTTTGTATTATTTGCTACAGAATTAGAATACAACTTGTTTAAGGGTATTACATATGATTGAAAGCAGGGATAGGCTGTTATGGCCAGTTGACTAAAATATTATGCAAGTATTACATAAAAATATGCACATTAATAAGCAAACTTGTCTTCTTTTTTGAATGTGAGATCCAGTAGCCCTGTACAGTTCGAAGTCCTCCATGGTTCTCCAGTGAAAAATTGTCCATCCAAATGTGATTAGAAGATAAAGAATCATAAAATTGTAAGCAAGGAGCTGAAGTATTCCATTAACAGGTAGTACTTGGAACAGCAGATGAAGCAGACATGTAAGGCTCTCCCACATCCCTCTAACTTCAGCACAAAGATGCTTTACTATGTTACCTCATTGATGGATGGTTGATGATCCAGTCAAGCTGGCATCTGCCTAGCTGTCATTGGCCACTTCAAGTTATATGGATACATCCTTCCCCTCCAGTTGCTCAGCAATACTCCATGGTCATTTTGATTTGGGCATGGAGATAGGATACTAGTTGTAGCTGAAGAGGGTAGTGGGTGGAAAAGAAGAAGCTTTGAAACAATTCCTATAGGAAACTACAGGTTCACTGGGAGCTCCTCCCGATCTTCTCTCATTTCAACTCAACCCATCTTTCCCTAAATCCAGGTTCCAACCAGGTTAGCCATAGTCGTTTCCTTTTCTAGCAAAGATATTTCTTCCATGGACGCTGTTTCCTTCAGCACCTATCACCATCAACATTTTGATCAGCGTCTGCTGATAAACTTCATTTATGAATCCTGCCAGAATTAGTGGGGTTTTTTTTCCTTTATTTCTGTTGCTTGTCTTCCCAGAGATTTATTTTAAACATCAGTTTAGCACTATTTCAAAATAGAATGAATGGCTAAACCAGCTATTCCAGCCTCCATCAAAACCAACCCAGGAGTGATTGGTAGATGTTTTTCTTGCTTGTTGATGACAATTAATGAGAGGGCACCAATAGTTTTCTTTAACTTGTCCAGGAGTTAAAGGACAAGCCCTACTTTCTGGACTTGTTCAGTAATGTGGACAATACAGAGTATGCTGGCTTAATGTTCTGCCTACTGTAACAAGGCATAGAAAAAAGCACTTTAACATAGGTGTGAGAAAGATCCCAGAGTTCAGCAGATCACAGACACCTACTATGTTCTAATGTGTTTCTATTCAAATGATATAATGCAATATATCTATTTGTCAATCAATAAATTGCACATGGAAATATAAATCATGTCTTACTGGTGCATTTTTTTTATCTTTTAGCAAGTGTAGGACTGTAAGATTCTCTGGGGAATTTCAGTAAGATTAAAATAAGAACTCTAATACATATTTACATTTGTTCATATTTTTGTATATTGAACAGAATTTATCAATGTATGCTGGCTAAGATGGGGAGTCTAATTTCTTATCCCACAGCCTATCCCATCAAAGTTTTTGCCCATTGCTTATCTCCACATCAGGAAAAACTGATGTTGGTACATCTAAGCTACTTAAATACTGTATATGACACAAAGAGACACCCTATCAAATGTGGTAATAATAAGACATCTTGTGCAAAGTGTTCTGAGTCTTTTGTGTTGCACAGCAGATGAAATTCCAGCCTGAGTACTAACTTATATTATAAGAAGGCTATGAACACTGATATACAATATATATCGTTGTAAAACAAAATTTTAAAAAATCTTATATTTAATGCCAAGTACATACTAATCAAGTGGGTACTATTAAACACTGGTAGAATAAATATCTATGCCACAGTAAATACAGTGTGCAAAAATAATTATTTTTTCTTACTTGAATGATTCCATTGAATGCATATTTATTAAATACTACATTATTTCCAGGCATGTGTGCCCCAATGAGGTCTCTGCTGTGCTGCATCTTTAAAAAAACTGTACATCCTGACACTAAAAGACATGAGATCCATTCTGCTACAATTAAAGCCCATTTTCAAAGCTAGAAATTAACCTTACGTTTAAATCTCTTATTGAGGACCACTCAAGATAGAAGCACTAAAATTGTCCCCTTTTAACCCATCCTGTTTTCTGCTGTACTTAGCTGGTTACTTGCTATATCCTTTGTTTCATATTACTTCTATTGTATTCTACATTACATTTTAAAGTATACTCAATGATTTTCCATAAGTAATGTTGATGATACAACAGAGCAAAGATGGAAAGGTTTTTCCTACATTGACTCAGTGTAGTCATAAATCATAAATGAACAAAATGTGCAAAAACTTAAGCAGGCTCAGAAGTTGAATTTTCCTTCTTTTTTTTAAATGGTCTCTGAAAACTACATTGCTGATGATACAGTGATGTCGTTATATAGACTGAACTGATATTTTGAAGATTGGGGATTCTGGAGAGGTTTCATTACAGATATTTTTAACCATATGCAGGGGGCAAAAGGACACTATGGAAAAGTGGTATTTTACTCCAGGATTCTGGCAGTACACAACACAGCATGCAGGTTTCTCGGAATGCAACTGAGGCTATGGGCAGGTTACACATCGCGGGTTGGCCTTCCTGCTTTAAAATAACATATCAATTTGTGAATGTTTCATTTTTGGGGGAGTTTTGATACTGTTGTTTTTCTAAATATCTTTAAAAATAACTTTTAAATGAATGTTCCTCAGATTATCATATTTTAAAGCAAAATAACAATCCTATTGTTGTTGATAGAATTAATTTAAGCCTTTCTACATGCTCTCCATTCTCAACACTGAAGAGCAGTATCTGCAGAAAGGAGGCAAGGAATGAAAAATCAAGATAACAGCCTTTTTTTTTTAAATCCCTCCTGTAGACATTGCTGCTCCCAAGTCCTCAGAACTGCACATGACATACCATCCTCATCATTATTGCCCACAAGACAACACAGCTACACTCTATCTCAATGTTTCTCAACCTTGACAACTTTAAGTTGTGTGAACTTCAGTTTCCAGAAGTCTCAAGCCAGCATGCTGGGAATTGAAGTCCACATAACTTACAGTGATCAATGTATCCAATGCATCCCCAGCTCCAATTCTTGCCTCACCACACTTGTTTGTCAGGGGAGAAAAACAATTATGATCCAGGACAGTGGCAAAACTACTTCTGCCAAACCAGAGGTCCCCAACCTTTTGGGCACCAGGGGCCGGTTCCATGGAGAGAGGTTTTTCTGTGGATCGGCGGTTGCGTGGTTTTGTGTGCTGCCTGTATCTCACGGATGGGGCTTTGCTTGTTTGCGCGGACCAGTTTCTGGCATGCTGTAGCTTGGCGCCGGTCCAATGACCAGGGATTGGGGACCCTTGTGCTAAGCAATCATGAAGAAAGGACAGCAAAATTCCATTGCCCTTTGACTTCAGGAGAGAACCAGAAAGGAAGGAAAGTGGGAAACATGGCATTCTTGCTTTCCAAAATCAATGGGTTGGGCTGATGCTCATGCTGGCTCCTGAAATGCCAACCAGTAAGAAGGTAAAGGCGCTCTGGATTTCTCAACACCACTAGCCAGCATCTGAATTTGCAAGATCCAGTTAATCTAACAGTCCTGATTAATGGCTCTTAGCAAGGGGGACAGGCCACAAAATGATGTGCTGCTGTTCCAGGTGTCAATCAGCCTTGCTTATTCAGTTTTATTCTTACAGTACTTTTTCTGATCCCATTTGCAATTTATTTTTACTATTTTTTTTTCATTCTTGCAAAGCTTGGTGTTCCCTCAAGCCCACCATTGTTTGTCTTTGTTTTGCAGATGTTTGAGCAGAAGATTACCTAAGATTTCCTCTGAACTCTGGAATTTTAGGGGAAAATAAACTCATATTCTATTAATTGCAGGTGGATTGCATCAACAGTAATTAAGATGGTAGTGGTGATAGAACTCCTCTGCAAATAAGTAAAATACAGGTAGTCCTCAACTTACAACAGTTTGCTTAGTGACCATTCAAAGTTATAACAGCACTGAAAAAAGTGACTTATGATAATTTTTCACACTTATGGCCATTGCAGCATCCCCATAGTCATGTGATTTACATTCAGATGCTTGACCTGACTCACATTTATGACAGTTGCAGTGTCCCAGGGTCATGTGATCATCTTTTGCAACCTTCTGAGAAGCAAAGTCAGTGGGGAAACCTGATTCACTTAACAACCATTTTATTAATTTAACAACTGCAGTGTTTCACTTAACAAATGTGGAAAGAAAAGTCGTAAAATGGGGCCAAACTCATTTAACAAAGTTCTCTTAGGAATATAAATTTTGGTCGTAAATCGAGGATTATCTTTCTTTATGTAAAAGTCTGATTGAAAGAGATTAAAGATCAGGAATCAGAGATCCTTCGCTTTGTTAAAAAAAACCCTACACGTGACAAGCATGCAAATATTAAAACATGATTTCGTTCTTTCCGCAAAGCTCAGGCCAGCGGGATATCATTTCACCGCTATCAATGATAAAAGTCACCAAATTCTCCTCAGAGAGGGTTAACTCAGAAGAAGATCGGTAGGGGGCGTTAAGCGGATGCTGACGGTAGCTGAAACTTTTAAAGTCGGTCCAAAACATCCAGAGGGAGGGGAAGCGCGGGCGAGGGGGGGGACGCTTTCCCTGCCGTGACTCGAGGAGCCGGGCGAAGGCGCGGGGTTAACCTGCAACTGCGCCTCTCCGGGAGGGAGTTGCTGCCGCTCGCTCTCCCCAGCCGCCTCCCTTGGCAGCTCTTCCTGCAAGGGAAGGGAATCCCCTCCCCACCTCGCCGCACGCCCGTTGTTGGAGCGACGCAGGTAAGACGCTCCCGGATTCTCATTTTCTCACCGGCCTTTGCGGTCAAACGCGGTGGAAGAAGGAAGCAAGCGCTAACGTCGCGTGGTGCACTGCGGTGCAATGTTTTACCTCTTGCACGGGCTGCTTCCCGCTCGTGCGGACGCGTGGGAGGATCTTTCAGGAGATCGCATCGCGGGAGTGGTTGGCCCGCGTGCGGTTTTGAATTTTTTTTGCGGGTGTGCGTGGAATGGGTTTGAAGGAATTGTGTTAATGAATTGCTGGTTTTCATGCAGGGAGAATAAAGGAAATTTAGGACCATCCAGGAAAAGTAAATACAGAGGATGCAGATTTAGAGAAAAAAGTATGCATTTTTAATCGTGTGGTGCAAGGCTGCTGATGCTCCCCGAATCCTTTGCAAAACTAACCAAGTCCACTGAAGTGAATCCCATTGAAATTAGCAAGTCTTCCTTTCTGACCCAGTATGGGCAGTCTAGAAACAAGTTTCTGGGATACAGAAAATGGGACAGGATACAGAAGATTTATTGTTTATATGTCAATGCCTTGTGTGTTCTGGCCCCACATATCTACAAAATAGGTGAAATCATGAATCACATTTCAGAAGTTGAGGACAGATTTGCCACCTTATTCTGAGCTCATCCATTTATGCTGCCAGAGACAAGTGATCCAGTTGAGCCAAGTATTGGCTATTTTGAGCCTGGCAGCGGTTCTCCAAGTTCTTGGGAAAATTCTTGCCTGGCTTTGTTATTTGAGATCCTCTTAAAGGGAGATTTAGTCAAGGAGGTTGCCTTAGATCAGGCTGCTGGAGTACCTCCTCTGATGGCAGATTTGCACATCACTTGGTGCTTTTAACTGAAAAGGTCACAACTCAAACATATATGGGCAGCCTGCAAGTATTTCTAGGGCAGTCCTGCTTACGCAGTCTGGTTTGGTCTGGCCAATGATCACAGAAGGAGACTACTAAGGAACACAATTTCTGCTATCCTGAATTCCTTCACAGGAAAAAAATAGGAAGTAAAAATAAATAAATAAACACAAGCAGGATTAAACTCTCAAGACCCTTGATTACCACTAGCCAGCCTCCTAGTCACCTAATAGGCAAGCAAGAGGGAACCAGGGAGAGGCAGTTGGACAGTTCTTTTTTAGATAATAAAATTGGTTGGTTGGTTGGTTTTGATGCCTTCAAACCAGTCTTGATTCCTGGCTACTGCTTGAGCAAAGTCTCTGAAGTTTTCTTAGCAAGGATTTCAGAAGTGATTTGCCAATGTCTCTTTCCTAGGGGAGAGAGAGAGAGGGAGGGAGGGAGGGAGAGAGAGGGGGGGGGAGAGAGAGAGAGAGAGAGAGAGAGAGAGAGAGAGAGAGAGACTGGCCCAAGGCGACTGGCTTCTTGCCTAGAACTTCTAGATTTCCAGTTTATAACCTGGTTCTTTAGCTATTTAACTTCTTCATAAAGACAAAACTCATCAGAAGGAGACTAAGCCCTGTGAGACAAGCCCAGAATTTCTTTGCAATTCATTCATGAAATTTCTGATGGAAGGGAAAAAACAGTCCCATAACAACTGTTGGGAAATATTGTTTGCAAAGATCCTGGAAGGGTCCTATTGATAAGAATGGGATATGCATATTTCCTACATGGATCTCCTCACAATTCTTTTCATCCCCCCCCCCGTGATTTTTCGTTTATTCTTTTAATTTAAAATTGGACAAGAGGTTTTTAGCCCAGTGGTGTCTTTCAAACTGCCAATATGCAAAATAAATATATATTATTGATCAGTTTGTATGTCCTGTATAAATTGCTGTACAGATAATGGGCTATCTAGATACTTTAAGCTTTAGAGAATTCATCTGCAAGGCTGTCTGTGAGCTATTCCAATCCCAGATTCTTGGGAGTTAATAGAACTTTGGCTTTTCCATGTAAGAACAGAAGCCACACAGTCTTTCCTGTATAGGACAGAAAAGAGGCCTGAGTAAGACATTATGTTAGAAACAGGAGATGCCTGAGCTGACACATGTGATACAGTAAATTGCTCTGAGAGATTTGATAGAATTGAATTGAGTTTGAAATAAAAAGAACAGCCAGTAGACTGAGCTTTATGCAACTTGATTTTGCTGGACATGTGTAGATCTTTCTGTTATCATTTGCTAATGTTTTGTAAATCTCACAATTAACAGAATAACAATGTTGGAAGGGACCTTGCTCTGGTAGGAAACTCTATTAGTGTTTCTCAACCTTGACAATTTTAAGGCATGTGGACTTCAACTCCCAGAATTCCACAACCAGCATTGCTGGCTATGGAATTCTGGGAATTGAAGTTCACATGCCTTAAAATTGTCAAGGTTGAGAAACACTACTCTATACCATTTCAGACAAATGGTGTCCAAACTCTTCTTAAAACTTCCAGTGTTGGAGCATTCACAACTTCTGGAGGCAGGTTGTTCCACTGATTAATTGTTCTGTCAGGAAATTCTCTTTAGTTCTAGGTTGCTTCTCTCCTTGATTAGTTTCCATCCATTTCTTCTTGTCCTGCCTTCAGATGCTTTGGAGAATAGGTCACTCTTTTTTGTGGCAACCCCTTAGATATTGGAACACTGCTTTTCTGTCACCTCCTAGTCCTTCCTTTCATTAAATTAGACATACCCAATTCCAGCAACTGTTCTTTATATGTTTTAGCTTCCAGTCTCATAAATAAGGTAAGTGACATGGGAACACCTCTCTGAACACTAGTAGAGATCAGAGTGGATATGTTAGCTAGATCATTTTTATATCCAGGAGTACCCTTCCTTTTCCTACCTCTACATGGGGTTGCAAGTCCTTACAAAAAGGGCAAGGGAATTTTGGAGGAGGAAAAGGGATTTTTAGGATTTGGGGTGCTGGTCTTAGTTTACTTGAAGTCCAAACACATTTGTTTCTTTGATGGAAGCTTTATGGGAAAAGGCAGTGCATAATATTTCTGGATTAATAAGGTAGATCTGGAGAACTCCAAGGAGGGGGAAAATAGGGACTATATGAGCATACATAGTATGACCTTCCTTGCTTTTTTGATAGTGAAGCAGACTGTAGTGAGATCTGATGCTGAATTTCTTACCCATTTTTTCCTATTAATATGTAACTGTTCATCAATGAAGGCTGCATTTGTGAAATAGACTTTGAACCTCAAAATATTTGAATCATAATCTCTAAGTCAATATTTTTCAAAGGGAGTTGCTTATATCATAGTTGCAGTCCCTTCATTAATGAGACAGTGATAAAGCTGGCTGGGATTCAGTCTTCCATCAATGGTCACAAGTGAAGTCAGATAGAATTGCAAATGCCATTTTAATACAGTTATTACCATGTTATGCAATTAAGTTGACCCAGCTCTTTGAGGAGCATAAGGCCAAGTACAGTCTGCCCCAAGACAAGTACCTAATGATCACCTAGCCGGCCATATTGGATCAGCCTGGGACACAGAGGGGCAATACTAATTTTTAGAGAATGTTGTGGGTGTGAGTATGCATGTAGATGAATGGTGGCCCTGTTATGTATAAATTTTATTATTGTATTTAGGGCGTATGAATGTGATTATTTTTATTCTCTATGTATATAAATTGAGTGTGAATGTGTATTGACTGTTTGGGGTATGAGAATGGTAGAGTCAGGGGTGGAGCCTGGTACCCCCTCTGCTGAGTGCAATAGCAAAAGTAGGGGGGCAGGACTTACCCTTGGGCTTGGTCTGTATGGAAAGTGAGTCCGGTCAGGAAGGGAGAAGGCTGGTGAGGGTGGGGGTACTCCGGGGAGGGGAGAAGGTCGGAGCATCCCGGTCATGACTGGGATGGGCAGATACGGCGGGAGCCGAGGGGCAGGCCATCTTTGGGGAACGAGGACTCGCTATGTTAGAGCGATTCCTTGTTCCGGCCCCTCAAAAGGCTCATCCTATAGTACTGGTGACAGGGGAGTACAGGGCCCTAATTGTAGGCTGCTGTTGCTTAATGCCAGGTCTGTTGTCAGCAAAGCCCCCCTTGTCCGTGATTTAATATTGGACAGCGGGGCGGACCTGGCATGTATAACCGAAACCTGGCTGGGCCCTGAGGGGGGTGTTTCCCTCTCGGAGATGTGCCCGGACGGGTTTGTGGTGCTTCATCAGCCTCGACATCAGGGCAGGGGTGGGGGAGTGGCAGTCATCGCTCGGAAGTCCTTGAGCCCTCGTTGGATTCCTGCCCCGGAGGTTGTTGGGTGTGAGTCCCTCCTATTGAAGTTGGGTTCACGGGTTCAGTTGGGCTTGCTGCTGACGTACCTACCTCCCAGCTGTGTTGCAACAGCCCTGCCTGCGTTGCTGGAGTCATTAGCTGGATTGGCGGTGGAGTTCCCCAGACTTATAGTACTGGGGGACTTTAACCTACCATCACTCGGCGATCGCTCAGAGGCGGCGCAGGAGTTCATGGCTTCCATGGCAACCATGGACCTGACCCAGGAAATTCAGGATCCGACCCATAGGGGTGGTCACACACTCGATCTTGTGTTTCTCTCGGGGCAATGGAGACATGATCTGGAATTAAGGGGAATAGAGATCTCGCCCTTGTCATGGACAGATCATTTCTTATTGAGGCTGGACTTCAGAGCATCACTCCCCCATCGCAGGGAGAGGGAGCCGACTAGGTGGTTCCGCCCCAGGCACCTAATGGACCCAGATCGGTTCCAGGAGGAGCTTGGGGAAATACCTGACTCCCTTGTCCACAACTCGTCCGGGTCCCTGGTTGCGGCCTGGAATGAGGCGGCGTCCGGGGCCCTGGATCGAATTGCGCCTTTGCGACCTCTCTGTGGTGGTGGTCCCCGGAGGGCGCCTTGGTTTACTGAGGAGCTCCAGGAGATGAAGCGCCACAAGAGACGTCTAGAGCGACGTTGGAGGGCCAGTAACTCTGAATCTGACCAATCACTATTAAGAGCCTATCTTAGGACTTATTTAGTGGCGATAAGGGCGGCAAAGCGTGTTCACTTTTCCGCACTTATTGCGTCCGCAGAATC